CTCAGTTTGTAACAAACTTGCATAATGCCAGCCGTATCTACTTTGACCTTCAAACACTGCAGTTGTGTATGAAAGCTGGAAAAGTTCAGGTATAATGATGCGGTTTCTGTGCTGCTAATGCAAATCCACCGTGCATGCACATCCAGAATTATGTTTAATACTCAAAGTTATACAGTAAAACCAACGCAAATGTTTTTGTTTGTCAGTAATGGGATTTCATCCGGAAGCAAATGTTTTTTTGAAGATTGCAGAAAGCAAATAAATAAATAAATAAATGTATTAAATAAATGGTGCATTTCCATCAAGTCTTTAGAGTGTCCAACTGTAGTATTGGTTACCTAGCAACCAACAGTAAACAAGGCACAAAAGTTAGAGCCACATGATTGGTCATCTGGGTGTATGAATCCCTAAATGATCGCTAAATTTGCATGAATTTTTTTTCCCAACTTTATGTTTATTTTAGGTTCCAGTGGTACTCGTAAGGAATTGGATGCAAGAACAGTAAAGCTGTTAAAAATTAAATGCAGAATCAATTTCTTTTCAATCAAAAGTATTTTTCACCACAGCTCGATTATTTATTCAACTGTACATGTGTTTTTTTTTAAGGGGGAAAAAATAAGATGCAAAAGTCTTTAACACCAGCGCATATATATTGTGATATATATAATAATATCGTGCCTGGCACGAAAGCTTGACAGGTGTAGTAACAGTAACTAAGGAGGGAGGGATTAGCGAAGGGTCAGTAGGGCTGCACGATATTAGAAAAATATGACCTTGTGATATTTTATTTTGCTGCGATATATATTGCGATATGTATATAATTTCACAAGATGACTTAAATAGCTCCATTTCATGAATTTAGATTGATTGGGATGATCAAGTCTTTTTCTATGCAGTGCATCTTTATAAAATATAATAAATTACATGCATATATAAATATGACAGAGCAAAAATAAAAGTAAAGTAATCAGCGCTTTATGGTTTTCTAGGCAGTCTAACAGCATTCAAGTACAGAAATCGAATACTTAAACGTAAAATAACATGGTCATCTGTGTATGAAATAATAATATTTTTAAATAATATCCTTTAATCTTTAATACTACACGCAATGCAATATCGATGCTTTAACGATATACTGTTCAACACACCCAAAAGTGTAAATACTGAATGAGCATTTCCAGACTGTTGAGTCTAGGCCCTTATTTTTATTTCATTTACACGTTCAGCTATTAAAAAAACAGCGATTCACCAAAGAGACAACAATATATATATACCAAAAAAAGCCATATCAAACCAACAGACAACATAAACTGCATGAATAGAAACACAATAGCTCTGAGCATTATAATAAAACAATGTCTTGTGTAATATTTATATTTAGAGCTTGACCTTAATGACCGATGGATGGATGGATGGATGGATGGATGGACAGATGGACGGACGGACAGATGGACGGACGGACGGACGGACGGACGGACGGACGGACAGACGGACAGACGGACAGACGGACAGACAGACAGACAGACAGACAGACAGACAGACAGATAGATAGATAGATAGATAGATAGATAGACAGATAGATAGATAGAAGGATGGATGGATAGAAGGATGGATGGATGGATGGATGGACCTTTTAAAGAATTTATAAAATTACATTTCGAATTGTTATTAAGTTGATAGATAGACAGATAGATGGATAGACAGATAGATGGATAGATGGATAGATAGATGGATAGATGGATGGATGGATGGATGGATGGATGGATGGATGGATGGATGGATGGATGGATGGATGGATGGATAGATGGATAGATAGATAGATAGAAAGATAGATAGACCTTTTAAAGAATTAATAAAATTACATTTCGTATTGTTATTAAGTTGATAGATGGATGGATGGATGGATGGATGGATGGATGGATGGATGGATGGATGGATGGATGGATGGATGGATGGATGGATAGATGGATAGATGGATAGATGGATAGATAGATAGATAGATAGATAGATAGATAGATAGATAGATAGATAGATAGATAGATAGATAGATAGATAGATTGATTGATTGATTGATTGATTGATTGATTGATTGATTGATTGATTGATTGATTGATAGATTGATTGATAGATAGATAGATAGATTTTTAAATAATATCCTTATCTTTTAATCTTTAATACTACACGCATTGCAATATCGATGCTTTAACGATATATAGTTCAGCCCCACTCGGCAACAGTATTTCCCAGCATTGTGCAGCCCTATTATTAAATACCTTCTTCAGATCTGGTCTGACCGTAAAGTACAGTCAGACACACTCGCATAACAATGAGTATGAAGTCACAGCATCACTTCTAGGCCAAATGCACATCTGGAGGGTGTGTGAGGGGGTGGTTGGCTTTTTTTTTTTAATGTCCCGTGTTTTGGGATGATAAACAGGGTGTTACTGAAACCATATGGTGACGCGTGGCCCAAGGGTGTGCTTGCTTCAAAATCACCGACCCCCACTTCTGTCTGACAGCACCACAAACCCCCAATAAATGAATCGGCCTATAGATCTGCAGAGCTGCATGTGCTTTCGGGGGCAATTAAGAGTCCCGCATGCAAAATTGCTTACATCACACCTAGACGAAATTAGACTGGATGAGCATTTCACAGAACCAAACGTGCAACACAATCGCTGCTAAAAATACCCATCAACATGATGACGACACTGTTATGGGAATAAAAACCCTACATGCTTGAAAGATTGCAGGAGATATGCATTATTATAAATGTTTATGTATAAAAGCACACATGCACTGTAAAAAATACACAAATCGCTTAATATTTGTACAAATTTAAGTGGATTGTACTTAAAACAATTAAGTTACCCCCTTAAAAATTAAGAATTGTGTTGTTTCAACTCATTTTAAATAAGTAGTTTGAACAAGTGTGTGCGAAGGATACTCTGCTGGCCCTTTCCAGATTGTGGTGTAATATCCCGAAAGAAACATGTGCTTGACTTAACTGGTTTTTAGGGATTTTGTTGATACATGTGACCCAATTCAGTCCACAGCGAGATGAACTACTGACCGCTGCTTTTATCTAACATGTCACACAAATCCAGCATCTATCATTAAAACAACACTGCACGTAAATATCAATAAACACTGCATTCTGTAAAATAAAAACCTTTTTCAAACAAAAGATGCCAAACTTACTCTCTAATCCAGTGTAGTTTAGCTACTAAAAAGACAAGCTTCGTAGACAGGAATGCTAATGCTATTTATTATCATTCCGAAACGATGCAAGAGATTAAAGAAACACCAATTATTCAAAACACAAATGCATTTAACGAAACTGGTATTTTCCAAACAATACCATTTATTTTATGGTACTATTTGTTTCTGGATTTCCCATTCGTCCAGTCTGAACAGTCATGAGCTGCAACACGCCCAAAAGTGTAAATACTGAATGAGCATTTCCAGACTGTTGAGTCTAGGCCCTTATTTTTATTTCATTTACGCGTTCAGCTATTAAAAAAAACAGCGATTCGCCAAAGAGACAACAATATATATACCAAAAAAAGCCATATCACACCAACAGACAACATAACCTGCATGAATAGAAACACAATAGCTCTGAGCATTATGATGAAAACAATGTCTTGTGTAATATTTATATTTAGAGCTTGACCTATGGGTATTGTTTGAATGCCTTATATATAGATGGATGGATGGATCTATATAGATAGATAAATAGACAGATTATATAATAGATGGATAAATGGCTAGATAGATCTTTTAATTAACTAATTAAATTACATTTCGTATTGTTATTACGTTTATATAATAGATTAATAGATAGATAGATAGATAGATAGATAGATAGATAGATAGATAGATAGATAGATAGATAGATAGATAGATAGATAGATAGATAGATAGATAGATAGATAGATAGATAGATAGATCGTATTATTATTACATTTATGGATAGATGGAGGGATGGATATACCTTTTAATGAATTAATTAAACTACATTCTGTATTAATATTAAGTTTATAAGATAGATAGATAGATAGATAGATAGATAGATAGATAGATAGATAGATAGATAGATAGATAGATAGATAGATAGATAGATAGATAGATAGATAGATCTTTTAATGAATTAATTAAATTACATTTAATATTAATATTACTTTTATATATGGATGGATGGATGGATGGATGGATGGATGGATGGATCTTTTAAGGAATTATATCAGATAGATAGATAGATAGATAGATAGATAGATAGATAGATAGATAGATAGATAGATAGATAGATAGATAGATAGATAGATAGATAGATAGATAGATAGATAGATAGATCTTTTAATGAATTAATTAAATTACATTTTGTTTTAATATTACGTTTACATATGGATGGATGGATAGATCTTTTATTGAATTATATTACATTTTGTATTATTATTAAGTTTATATGATAGATAGATAGATAGATAGATAGATAGATAGATAGATAGATAGATAGATAGATAGATAATTGAAAATAATTGAAATAGACGACATTTTGTATTATTTTGTATTATTTTAACATCTATACTGCATATAAAACAATAAAAATCGTTATATTTACAATACCACTTGCTTTAATGTAAGGCTTATGCAGCTCCACTGGTTTTAACACAGCATTATAGGCTAAAATATGAATATTACACAAACATTGCTGGGTCTATTATGAACATGCATATATGTTGATGCTGTTATAGACCGAATATAAGGCGACCATCATCATACCTTCAGCTGGAGGCACATGTAACCCCACAGACGCCGTTATTTGATCTTAAAACCACACAAACGATTGGGAAAATTAGCAAATCCCGCTGATGAAGCCACAACATCCACATCCGAGTGCTGTCTTTCATGAATAAGCGGTTCTCCGTCGGTTGTCCGCAGACACAGAAGACCACGCAAAATCCCGGTGAACGTGACAGCGGCAAAAACTCACTCACCTCTGTCCAAAATGTGCTTTCTCCGTCTCTCCGTCGCGAATTCACCGTCTCATTTATTCTCCGGTATTCTTCTTGCGTCCGTGGGTCTGTCTGTCTGTGCGTTTCAATGCTGCTGTAGAGAGACACACAAACCTGCTGCGTGAAACCCCGCCCACACGCGTCCCCGCTGCTAGAACAGATACAGCTTCGGCCGGAAGTTGACGATAATTATTTATAGTATTTATTAAACTTCCCATTTTATTAGCGTCTATTTCTACCACAACCCTAGATTTGACCCTCATAATAATGTAAAAATATGAATTATTGTTGTACGGTGTGACAAAAATGACGGTATATTGATGTTAGTATCCGCATCTGTATCCCATCTAGACTTTACCTCCCCAGTGGTCATTAGTTCCCCACGCAGCGGCGCGCTCACGAGACGCGTCACCTGCGCCACTGGAGGAGGCACATGCAATATTAAACACACACACACACTCACACACAGACATAAAATGCAATATTAAACACACCACATGCGTTCTGGAGGATGCACATGAGGAGATCTAAAACAAAAAAAAATGTATTTAATAAATAAATAAAAGAGGAGATCCGGGTCACAAAGGAGCAGGTCTATAAATAGATCTGTATCTAGATAGACCTACGCATTGATAGAGCGAACTATGGGCCAGTTTTTACATGTAAGTCTAGGATGTGATTTAATTCTGGCTACTATATATGCTATATAGTCACGTTTAATACATGGAGGACCAAACCTGCAAAATAAACAAATAAATGAATAAAAATAAATGTATAAATAAACAAATAAATAAATAGAAAGGAGAAGATCCGGGTTGCAGAGATCAGGGTTGCGGCCTATAAATAGATCTAGATAGATACATAGATGGATCACTAGACGAATTATGAGTCAGGTTTTCCATTAAACATATACAAGTGTAGGGTGTGTTTTAGTTCTGGTTCATACAAATACCATATAGGCTATATGTTCTATAGCCTGTTCATCTGAAATCTCCATCTGATATAGGCTAATGGCTTGGTTCATAATGATGTCATGGAAAACCTGATTATAACGATCTCAGCGCCCCCTGTTGGTGATTAACAGATATCAGTTTTCATATATATATATATATATATATATATATATAAACTGGCCACTTTATTAGGTACACCATATAAGTACTGGGTTAGACCCCTTGTGCCTTCAGAACTGCCTTAATCCTTCATGGCGTAGATTCAACAAGATACTGGAAATATTCCTCAGAGATTTTGCTCCATATTGACATGATAGCATCACACAGTTGCTCCAGATTTGTTGGCTGCACATCCATGATGTGAATCTCCCGTTCCACCACATCCCAAAGGTGCTCTATTGGATTGTGAACTGGTGACTGTGGAGGCCATTTGAGTGCAGTGAACTCATTGTCATGTTCACAAAACCGGTCTGAGATGATTCACGCTTTATGACATGGCGTGGTATTCTGCTGGAGGTAACCATCAGAAGATGGGTACACTGTGGTCATAAAGGGATGGACATGGTCAGCGACAATACTCAGGTAGGCTGTGGTGGTGACACAATGCTCAATTAGTACTAATGGGCCCAAAGTGTGCCAAGAAAATATTCCCCACACCATTACACCACCACCACCAGCCTGAACCGTTGAAACAAGACAAGATGGATCCATGCTTTCATGTTGTTGATGCCAAATTCTGACCCGACCATCCAAATGTGGCAGCAGAAATGGAGACTCATCAGAGCAGGCAACGTTTCCCCAATTTTCTAGTGTCCAGTTTTGGTGAGCCTGTGTGAATTGTAGCCTCAGTTTCCTG